ACATAATTGTGTGTATTTTGCCTAAATTTTTTTCTGTACGTGTATATTCTACTTTGTCAACAAAAGAAGAGTTTTTTCGACAATAAAGTATATTTTGATTAATTGATTGATTCATTGATTGATTGTGAAGGACGGTATGCTTTAAAAAACTGTGAATAATTTCCATAGCAACGTTAGCAACCATAGCAATTTGTTTTGTATGTCACAACGTTAGTATTCAGTATTTCAGATTAAGTTTGAAGTTCGTCAACTTCAAGTCTGGCAAATGGTTAGATTAACAGTATGCATAAAATAACAGTTTTACAAATGATTGATGACGGAGATTGAACTCGAACACAACAGGAAGTAGCTCGCCTATTTCATGAAAAATTTCCTAATTTACCGCCCATATCTCAAGGAACAATGAGCAAAATAAAGAAGCAGTTTTGCGAGTTTGGCCATGTGGGGCAGATAAAAAAGCATCTGCCAATGCAATGAGTCATGAACTCAAATTAGATGTGATGCTTGAGGAAAACCCACATACATCGAGTAGACAGGCATCCACTACATTCAATGTTAGCCATACATCTGTTAAAAAAAAATCTGTTTGAAATATGTTTTTCCGTTAATCATCGATAGTAAACATATTAAAAGAAAATAAAATACATCCCTATAAAATGATACCACATGCAAGACGATTTTGATAGAAAGACTTATTTTTGTCAGCCAATTATGGACATGTTAGATTACAATATCATCGAATTAGAAGACCTTATGTTTTCTGATAAGTACTTTGTATCTCAACGGTCATGATAATTGGCAAACTTGCCGCTACTGGACAACGGAAAATCCTCACTGGATGAGAGAAGAACACACGCAATACCCTCAAAAGGTTAATGTTTGGGCAGAGATTGGGGGCAACTTGAATGGCGATAATTATTTGGCACTACTTCAAAATTATGTCATTCCAAGTTAAGCAAATTTATATCCTGATCCAGGAAACCCTCAAGTTTCAGTGAATACGACATGGTTTCAGCAGGATGGAGCACCCCCACATTACCAAGTTTTTGTCCGGCAATACCTCGATGCAACATTTCCCAATCGGTGGATAGGGAGGCGAGTATCGATCGAATGGCCAGCGCAATCACCTGATCTTTCATCATTAGATTTCTTTTTATGGGGATATGTAAAGAGCAATGTGTACAAAACTAAACCTTCAGATTTGAATGACTCTAAAAAACGAATTTATTTATTTATATAAATCGACGAAAGAAAGTTAAACATTAATGGATTTTTTGGTTTGACAAATGTCATACTTTCACAAAAATGAAGATGATCACTTGGTGATCGAAACACGTGTCGGAGGTGTTAAAAATAACTATTTGGTGTTGGGAAAAACTCCAGTAATATTTATTATTTACTAGTTGTCAAAATTGAAAAAAGAAGAGCTACATAGTTCTAGTTGGTCATTAAGGGTTTTGAAATTGGGGTTTTCATTTAATTTATTCAGTCCCAATGTTTCTAACAAATTTATCTCTATTTTTTACTGCATGTATGGAGAATTTTCATGTTTTCTTCAAAACCCTCAATGATCAACTAGAACTATGCAAATCTCCCCTTTTGAATTTGTTAATGTTGACAACTAGTTTAGGATCCATTGGTATTTGGAACAATAGTTTGGATCAATAGTCACTAATTTTGAAGTTACGGAAGTTAAATAATTATTGTTTTGGGATCTCAGATACGGTATTGATAGCCTTGGTAACATTTACTTTATTTAAGGTACCTATTTCATGTCTCGAAAGGATATTGACTGTAACGTTCTATATTCTAGGAGTTGTTTG